GTGGCTCACGCTTGTAATCCCAGCACTTTGGGAGGCCGAGGCGGGTGGATCACGAGGTCAGGAAATTGAGACTATCCTGGCTAACATGGTGAAACCCCATCTCTACTAAATATACAAAAAATTAGCTGGGTGTGGTGGCGAGCGCCTGTAGTCCCAGCTGCTCGGGAGGATGAGGCGCAGGAGAATGGCATGAACCCAGGCGGCGGAGCTTGCAGTGAGCCAAGGTCGCGCAACTGCACTCCAGCCTGGGCAACAGAGCGAGACTCCATCTCAAAAAAAAAGAAGAGTCCATGTTGCAGGAAACCCTTGGTCCTGATCAACAAGATGGTTGATTACCCTAGGTAAGACTGGGATTTGGTGGTTTGTAGTAGTTGAGGGAGGAAGCCACTTAGAGATGAGAGTAGATCTGATAGAAAGTGCTTTGAACTGTTAAATGTCTGGGTTTGAATCCTGGCTGTATCACTGACCATCTTTGACATCTTAGGCAGATCATTTCCCCTCTCTGATTCTGCGGAGAGTTTTGTGTCTTCTGGTACAGCCAGGCCCTTGGCTTGTATCCTCCACTTAGCAGCTCTTTCATATGTTTACCCAACAAAAGTTGAGAGAGTGAAGCTGGTGTGCCAGCATAGGAATTAGGTGCTAGAGATCACACTGAAGGCACATGGTTCCTGCCTTGCCATCTGTGTTACTGCAGCCATGGTGGAGTCTTTTCAGTAGCAAACCTCTAGAACTTTTCTGCCTGGATAGTCCACATTCATTGCTCTTAAAATTTGAGAGCAGACTCTGTTTCTAGGAGATAGTAGACTTGAGTTCTCTACAGGATAACCTTTTAGACTAAGAGAACCAGATCTTTCTTGACCCTTCAGATTTTGAAAGCTGCTAATCCTACTCAGTTTTTAAGTCTCATTCTCATTTTCCCCTTTAGGAGTTCCAGCTCTGTCCCTCACAAGCAGCGTAAGTGTGAGCAAGTGAATTAACATCTTTGAGCCTTAGTTTATTTGTGAAATAGGGATGACTATGATCCCCACCTCGTGAGTTAGGAGGATTAAATGAGATCATTCCTCTTAGCACAGTACCTGCCATGTAGTATACAATAAATGGAATAAAATGATTGCATTTTCCACGTGTCTTGGAGAGCACTGGAGGCCAGCTCCTCTCCACCCATTGCCCAGACTTGAGCATCTCAGAGAAAGAAGCCACCTTTCATTGTATTCATCTCTGTGTCTACAGCCAGCCCCTGCCTGGTGAATAGTGGATGTTTAATAGTATTGATTTATGACCTGAAGATGGTGATGGTGATGATGATGTAACCTATCTCCTAGGATTAAGGAAGGTAAAATAAGAAAATGTATGTGAAACTACGCTTTTGTAAATGGAAAAACATAACACAGTGTACGTCCCTCCACTAAGGTATTTATCACAGCGTACTGTTCTTTATTTGTTTGCCTGTCTTTTCTACTCATAGTCCATGCACTTCTCCAAAGTGGAGACTACATCTTATCTCTAGTCCTGCTCCAGCCCCTGTCTGATAGCCTACACAAAGTAGGCACTCAGTTTAATTAAATGCAAATGGCATACAAAGGCAAAGAACTGTGAAGCTCTTATTAGGATAGGGAAAGAGGGCTGGTAAATATGACTGGTCCTTCCTTCCTTCCTGGTGCTGCTTTTACACAAAACTGTTTCTGAAATAAACCTTCCTAGGGGAGTGATGAAATTGGCTGAGAGAAAAGGTGAGGGTCAGGAATAACAGTTTCATTATCTGAGCAACTGGACATAGTGGCTGGCACTTGGGCACATTGTCACAAATCTTTGTGTTGGGATTAATGCCACTAACCTGTAGCGATGGGGTTCCATCTTTGATCATTATCAGCTAAAAATCGTCAAAATGTTTGTCATGCTCCAGGTGCCCTGGCTGCAGAGTTGTGCCAACTTGATGCAGATTGGGGCACCTCTCCCACTACTGGGCTGTTTGGGCCAGTATTTTAAGGTTCTGGGAAGTATGGAAGTACTGACTGGGCAACATGGGAAGGTAAGAAGTGCCTCAGTGAGGTCCTTGCTTCCGTAACTTCTCAGAGGGTCTTTTCTCAGAAGCTTCTCTTTTGCATCCTCAGTGGCTCAAGTGAATATGCCAGTGTGCAGGCTCATTGTTACAACAGCTCCTCATGTTGTGGAGAAAGGGCCCCTGAAAAGTCATGTTTTGAGACTGGCCCTTGAAACCGCCTCTTCTTGGTCTTGGGAAGAAGGCTTGGCTGATAAGCTAGCATTATCAGAGATATGTTTATAATAGGCCAAATTTGATGTGTCCTGGGCCTTGGGTCTAGGCCCCCTAAGAATTTCAGGGACCTACCCCCTTCCTTTTTTTTTTGTGCATGGATGCGAGTCTGGCTTGTTCTTCCTCTCCAGGAGCATGGCTCTGAGTCTCAGCACTTAGTTGGCCCCATTTCCCTCTGGGTGAGGAAGCGAACATCAGGAAAGTCTGAATATTGAGCTGCAGTATTTGCTGTTATTTGCTGCAATGGGGAAACCCAAAGGCCAGGTTTCTAGAGAGTGTGCTGGGGATGCTGACTTGGTGCTGGTCAGAGTAGAAGCTGAAGCACATAGTATTTTATAATAAATACTAATGAAATCCTAGATCTATAATAGCATTTTGGATATCTAAAACAAACCATGTGCTTGTAAAAAAGTGGAAAGAGATCAACTTTAAGCCATAAATTCTTGGTAATAGAGGGTTTTTTCCTATTTATGTTTGATAGATATTTTTATTTCCAGAGGAATGTCAACTCCTAATTTCATAATGTATCATGGGCTTAAGAAAATTGAATTTAATAAAAAGCCAAAGATGAATGACATCCTTAAAGGTCCCAACACTTGTCTTTATTAGCAGGACAAACTGTAGGTCTCCAAACACTGCTGCTCTCCAAATGAAAGTTTAAATGAAAAGTACAGTTGTGTCACAGGTTAAATTTCATTGTGGGCCCAGCTAACATTGTTAGTGAGGAGCTGGCTGTATTTGTTTCCTTAGACACCAGGGCAGCCAAACTCACCAGGCTATAGAGCTCTTTCTGCTGAGGAAGTATTTCTTCTACTTAGGGGGAGAGGAAGGACACATCAGAAAAATCAGGAGTCAGATGAGCCTGACTCATGGGCCACACCTCAGAGTTGGCTCTTGGGAATCCTGGATACCTAATTTTTTGCAGGGGGACCAATGTGTGTTTTTTTGGTGTGTGTTCAATTTTGTTATTCAGTTCCAAACCCCCGTTTACTCTGTATGTAATGCTTCCTGGGGAACAGAAGGTCCAGGGAATTGGGAAATGAGTGTTCCCCTCTCTTCACCTTGAGAGGAGAGGTGTCACCTGGTCTAAGCAGCAGCCTGGGCCTCCCTTCTCTCCCCTCTGCCTCAGCCTTGCAGCCATTTTGCCCTTTCTATCTCTGGGAGTAAGATCCTGTCAGCTTCCTCATCTTTGGAGATCAGCCCTTGGAGACAAGGCAACCAGAATCTTTGAATCTCTCTAGCATGAAATCTGACTGACTTGATTTGGTTTTCGGTCCTGCTGTTATGTGTTGGATTGAAATAGATGCTTTAAAAACAAGCCCAATATTAGTGGGTATGTTTTGCGGGGAGGATGCCTGACTTTCCTGGGACATCAAGGAGATTGACCATTTCTCCTTGTGTTTTCCCAGCCATTCATTTCCTAAGTGCAGTCAGGTGTCATCTGTTTCGTGTTGCTTCTCCAGGCTGTCTCTGGAGAGAACCAGTTTACTTCGATTTTAATGATACTGGAAAGGTCTTCTCCAGAATTGAAGGACCCGGGGAAGGGGTGCTGCCGGAGCTATTGGGGCCACTGAATGGGCAGAGCCCCCTTTCTTTCTCTCTGCAGTGGAGGCCCTTTCTACATGATAATTTTTCTCAGAGAATTTTGCTTTTATTTATTTTTTTTATTATTTCCTATTTGTCTGTTCCAGATGTTTTCAGGGCAGTTTTTGTGTGTGTGTGTTGTAAACTAATTCCATTCATGTTTTAAAAATTTATGAAAGCGCTAATAAAAATGTCAAAGTGGTAAAAATGTTAGCTTTTCCTCTGCTTTGATTAAATTTTGCAAACTGTTTTTGAATATTAAAAAGCAATAATTTTTTTTATCCTCTCTCCTTGCTTTCCCTCTTCTCTCTGGTACTCATGTGCTCTCTCCTGCCCTCTCCCCGCTCTGGTGCGTTCCTTCCTTCCCAGGAGCGATGTATGAGGCGTGCTGCACAGCCAGCGTTCTGCAAGCCTGTTTGCACACCAGGACCTTGGTGCTGTGCATCTCTATTAAATAGCGGAGACAAATTAATCTTAGAGACTCCAAACAAATTGTCACTCCTCCTCCTTCTCTTCCATTATGTTTCAGTGGACTGGGAAGGGCTGGCTAAGCAGTTGGGCTGGCGGTGTAGGGGGAGTGTGTACTGCCTGAAAGAAAGGTGGGAGGTGCTAGCTCCTGTTACTGTTACTCACTTTTCTCCTCCTCTTTGGGATCCCCTTTGGCTTTTTTATCTTTTTAGAAAATTAAGAACTAATGAAGAAACTTACCAATTTGGTTCAAACTTCATACAAGGAAATCTATGCATTGGTCTGATGGCTGGTTGTCTATATGGCAGGAGATCAGACCCATTTCAGGACAGGGACCTGGGCAAGAGAAAGAAGGGGGTATTCTTAGGGGCTCGAGTTAGCAAGCCTCTGCTAGAGAACCAGTTGGAGAAACTGGGGCAGATGGCACCACTGTCTTCCTTCCCGTTTCCAGAAACAATGGGGTTGAGGGCTGTGTCTGGTCCCTGGAACCTATGAGGATATTAGCAGTGGGAGGGTTAGGATTGTAACTGCTGGTGCCGTTTCACTCAATCTTGGGTTTGGCCTGGCAGGAGCTAATGAACCCAAAACACTGATTTTTTTGTTGACTTGGAGCTACTGTTGGAAACGATCGATTACAATCACTTATTTTTCCTTTTCTGTATCTTTGGCACTCCAGGAAATCATCGAGTTCCCCATCTTGAAGCTAAATGGCCGGACCATGGAGATTGAGTCTACCTTTCACATGTATGTCCAGCCTGTAGTCCATCCACAGCTTACCCCATTCTGTACAGAGGTAAGAGCCCTAGAAGTGGGCAGCAAGGGCTGCTGGGAGGGGAATTTTGGAATCCTTGGTGCTCTATATAGGCCACTTAGAGAAAGTATAGGGATTATCAGTGCTTAAGGCAAGTGCGCACTGGACCTAGCAGTTAGGTTTTATAAAGTCTGATGCTCCACTCAGGTCACTGTCGTTACTGGGGACCCAGGGAGAGCAGTGGCTTAGTCTACCCCTGCTTCCCCAGCATCCCTTCCTGGTGACCGGCACTTGGAGACCAGGAGCAGAATGGCACTTCTGGGGTTCAAGTTCTTTCCAGTTCAATTTCCCTTAGGGCCCCTGGGCAAGAAGTAAAGATTTCAGCCACTTGCAAGGCAGGGTTATGTTCAGGCCTTCTTAGCTTTCTGGCATTGTTACTCTGTCCTCCTGTAAAGTGGCCCTGCATGAAGCGTAGGTTGTTTGTCGGAGGTACATTCTGTCACCGAGGGAAGAGAAGAGTGGTCTGAGTGAAGCATGAGGCCTGACTGGCCAAGGCTGAAATCTCCTTATCCTAGGCGGGTACTGTACTTGGCCTCCTTGTCAGCAGGTAGGTATTGATCCCATTTTACAGGTTGTGAAACTGGGCCTAACTGAGATTTTGATGCTTGCTGGATGCTCAAAAGAGCCATTGGCAGAGGGGAGGAGCCCCTGCAAGTTCTAACTCCCAGAACTGTGTGAAGCCTTCTGTGGCTACTTTTCCCTGTGACATGTCATGTAATGCACTCAGTGGTGGCCAACAGGCTGTGGTGCAATCGGGTTAAGAATGTGTGGTAGCAGGGATGATGAGAATCTTTTAAGAGTCTGGGGCTGAGGTACATTAGAGACTTTGTGCATTCATTTAGACACCTGTCTGCTACATGTGAATGAAATAGGTGGAAAGGGGTTCTTGAGTTATCCCAAAAAATCTCCTTGGTGAGAAGGCTGGGAATGAGTGTGTCTGACCCTGGTAGGCCCTGAGGCTGACTTAGCCCAGATATGAGGCCTCGAAATTGCTCTGAATTCGATGCCAGTGTTTGCCAACTGACCCAGGTGGGGCTTTTGCTGTAGGCATCCATCTGCCAAGGTGCCTAGCCTCTTTAGCCTTTTGTTACTCCAACTAATGATGTTGCGTTCTGCTTCTCTCCTTCCTCTACTGGGTTTTCCCCTTTCCCCTGGGATTTACCTATACCACCAGGGGGCGCTAATCTGACTTTTCTGCCCCATTTGAAAAATCACCATTTTAACGATGATGAAAATCCCCTTGCTTATGAGAAGGGAAGGAAAGACTTCTTTAAGCCAGCCAGTTCCCTGATCCCTCCACTGGCCTGAAAGGCTAATGTCCTCTTGTCCTTACATAGATAAGCAGGCCCAAATTTTGGTAAGTTTGCTACCCGTTTAGGAATGGAACAGAATTCTGCTGGAGCTGGACCCTGGGCAGGAGTGGATGCTTGAGAGTATAGGAAGAAGAGGGACTTCTTTTAGAGTGAGGCTGCCGCTGCTACTTTTTGTGGGGATGGGAGGAGGGATTGTGAGGCTATGATGAACAGTTTCTTCTTTCTAGAAAGCTTTACCCAAGGACGCACGTACATAATTTGGAGGGGAGTAGGAGTGGTGGTTGGGATCCTTATTATGAAGCCTGTTCTAAAAGTGAAAATGTGGTTGTTCTGTAGGCACTGGGTCTGCCATTTTGTCTCAGGTTTCCAGAGCTCAAAACTCGCCATGATCTTGTCCATCCTTTTTTGACCAGCCTCATCTCTCTCTGCTTCGTCTCCCACCTAGCTCCCCTCACCCAGAGGTTGCCCTCTTATAGTCTGTCTTTCCACATGATGGTCCTTCTGCCTGCACAGAGTTCCCACTCTCCCTGCCAACTCCTGCGTGACCTCCAGGACTCTGCTTAGGGTCACCTTCTCTGATCCTCAGATTGAGTTGTGCTTATTCCAACATAGAACTGATCAGATAATTTATACTATAATTATTTATCTGTCTCTTCACTAGACTATAAGTTCTTTGAGGGAAGAAACTAGACCTGATCCGTCTCCATCCCATCATTAGGGTCTGCTACCAAGTAGACACTTGATAGGTGTCCCTTAAATGAATGAATATTGTCAAGGAGTTATTTTCTGTCTCTTCCAAAAACAACTGTACTGCTAACTTGTTATTTTGAGTAAGTGAAGTCTTATTTGGAAAACCTCAGATCATACAAATTTTGCCCTGTCTCCATACCAGATGGAATTGTATCTCCAAGAGGCATAGACACAGGATGGGGGCTGTCATTCTGAGACCTCATCCAATCTGGCAGTTGGTGCCTTTTGCGGGTAGGGATGGAGGTCATTCCAACCAGAGGAAATCTCTCATTAGTAAGTGTGAGGAACAACCCCAGACCTCCAGATTATACTTAAGTAGTTCCTCTGGCAGGATTTTCTCTCTTGTGTACAAGAAGTTCTTAACCCCAGCATATATGTATGTATATGTATGTGTGTGTGTTTGCACATGCATATGACATGTGCACATACATGGGCACATGCTTGTGTGGGGAGAGAAGCAGGCTCAGTACTGGACAGTAGGAAAAAGGATTCCACTTTGAACAAGTCTCTAGCACACACAGAGAGACTCTTACTTTTATTGCTTCATATTAGGAAAGTGTTAGTACCCTTCTTGAGGTCCTTTCTTAGTTTCAGTTGAGAGTCGGCCTGGAGACATGGTTCTGACAGAGATAGGATGGGATGTGTTTCATTCCTTCCCGAGCCCTTTCCCTGTGACCTCTGGAATCTGCTCCAGCTCATCAAGTCTCTGTCTCTAGCAGCTGGGCTGCTGCACAGTCCCTAACCATGTCTTCTTTTTGTTGTTGTTATCATGAAAAAAACTAGAGAAATACTCATTTTGCTAAATGCCAGTAAAGGGCTTTGTCTTGCACCTGTACTTATAAAGGGTGAGATTTATTGGTCTCTTTGTCTGAGGAGAAAGAGTGGGTCTGATTATCAGATTGCACACCAGAGACAAGTGCTTATGTAATCAACAAACTGTCTTGGTGTCAGAATACGATTGTGTTGGAGATAAACTGTGAAAGGAGAAAGTGCTGGATGCTGACATGCTATTGGCACTGAGTTTCCTGGGCTGCTTCCTGTAGTTGCTAGTGTTTATGATGAAGCCAGCTCATTCCTGGACAAAGCCCTTGTGAGGGTAGGGGATCTCAGTAACCAGCCATGTTATCAGTCAGGGTCAAAAGCCCCTTGCCTTGTGGTTTCTGAGTCTGGAGAAGTGGGAGTTAATCTGTAATCCCTCAGTGAAAGGAGCCACAGAGCACACATTAATTCTTCCTCTCACCTCTCCTGCTTTAAGTGGCTAAGGTCTCTGAGCTCTGTTTAGCCTGTGAATCCTGGTTCTCAGCTTAATAATACTTGGCTTTGCTCTAGTACCTTTCGTTGTGAGGAGTGAAAGCTTTTTACAAACGTGTATTAACCCAAGTGGGACTAGGCTTAAACTGTGACATGAAGGATTTAAGTTAGGCCTAAGATAGAACTTCCCAGTATTAATTTGACAGAATTGTCTCGTTCCCTCATAGCATCCTGTATAAGCCTTACAGGTGTCTTATCAGGTAGACGAACTAATTTTTACTAAAAAAAAAAAAAAAGATGGGGTCTCTCTATGTTGCCTAGTCTGGTCTCAAATTCATGGGCTCAAGCAGTCCTCCTGCCTTAGCCTCCCAAAGGGCTGGGATTGCCCGCTGAGCCACCACGCCCAGCCCAGAACTAACTAATTTCATCCCCTCTTTGTCCAGTGCCTTGGCAGAGCTGATACGGGGTGGTCCATCCTTGGAGGGATTAATACAGGGGCCTGAGGCCTTCCCTGAGAAGGCTTTGTCTAGCTGAGCCAACTGCTCAAGCCCCTGTGTCTCTGGGGGCTAAATGCAAATCCTTGAGGAACTCAGCTGTGAGCCGTGCTTTACTGGGCCACAAATGAAAATGGCTGTTGTCTGGGAAGCATAGCGAGAGAAGGAGCTTACCTCACTAGGCTCTTCCCAGGCTGATGATTCTAGGATCGCTGAGCACTGGAGTGGAGTTTGTGAAAGCCTCAGGATGCTGGAGCTCCATTTCCCTAGCTCCTGGTGGGAGAGTTGGGCTTAGTCTGTAGTGAGGCATCCTGCAGCAGAACCCCGGAGCAGCACTCTGGTTTTCCATTTTGATGTAGTGATTTTCTTGCCCCACATCAGTGATTTTCCTGGGGCCCAGGGCAGGGGCTTATGGGGTACACAGGTGCTGACCTAAACCTTATCTCCAGGGAGGGAGGGCTCTTGGCAAGGGTGCATTGCTTTCCTGTGTGAGTGAGACTTTCTTGAAGCTCTTGGCATTCAGCTCATTTGAGAGACTGTTAGTGGGAGCCAAGAGAAGAAGTGGACCTTACCTTGCCCCCTGAAACTCAGACCAGACACAAGACTAACATTTGGACCCTGGAGCTTCCTAAGAAGTGAGAGTGGCTGTGGTCCACCTTTTCCAGGATGGTCCTGATCTTGAGCCTCAGCTCCAGGCTTGAAGGTGTGTCTAAGCCCTAGGCTTAACAGGAGAGAAACTGGACCAGAATGGGCAGCAGTGGGCCTGTGGGTGTCTGTCACTAATCTGGGGTTGGTAATAAGCCTCCTCCTGACTCTCTTTGGCCCCTTCATGACTGAGGCAAAACAGGATATCTGCTTACTCAGTTTGTGGCTCTGGAAGGTGTACAGGCTCTGGGTACTAGTTGGGGCTGGGCGTAGGAGGGGCTGCCGAGAATGCGTATTCCATGAGGGCAGAGTTTTTACATTTTTCTTCACTGCCGGATCCCTAGTTCCTGTAATGTGGCCCAGCCCGCAGCAGACTTTCTATGAATAGTTATTGACTAAATAAAAGGAGGAGTCCTTTGTACTCCAAGATTATTGAAGCTGCTGACCGAGGGCACTCCCCCACCCCCAGCCCCCCAGCCCTTAGTGGACCATCTTTTCTTCTCTTTGACTCAGGCCCTCCCTCTGCTGGGCAGTTCTTTGGTCTTCCAAGCAAGGAAAGGGTGTGGAGGTGCCAGCCGGGTGGGCATGCTGTGGGTTAAAGCTTTGCGAAGCAACAGTGTAGTTAATCTTTCTAATTTATTTTCCTTTTAGACCATGGGAAGTCTGTAGGCAGCAGCTGTTACCCAATTAAAATACAGATTAATATAAAAACAGTTTCTGGAATATAAAATAGAGTGGCTGTGTCCTTACACTTCCTTAAAATACCACCTAATAATGACTTGATGAACTACAGAAACCCACCTAGAGGAGCTCAGCGTTTTTAAAATGAAAATTTCTCCCTAAAAGGTGTATATTACCATTCCATGTAAGTCACCATGAGAAAATAACCTTCCCACTTAGAGCCAGAGATTTCTGTGCATTGGGTATTTGGTATTCATTAAGTATAATTATAGTTTAATTGGAGTTTAATCTCCCCCCCCAACACACTTTAAAAAAAGGAAGTCTCCAAGCAAGTCTGAGATACTGCTCTTTCTGAAAGTAGCCAGGGACGTGCCGGGGGTGGTGATTTCCAGTTGGTGTCCAGGACATGGGGGCCTTATGCCCTCAGATCCTTGTTAAGTAGTCTGTCCCCAGTCTGTGCCTGAGGGATATTTTTACTTTAAACCAAACCAAAACAAAGGAAAACAACAAGCTTGTTTGAACCCAGGCATGACCTAGGTGGAGCATAGGCCTGAGTCAGAAATTCTCTAGGTCATAGTCTGAACATTGGGCCTTTTTGTCTTAGACAGTGGTGACTCTGTCTCTTGCTTGGCTAGTTCATATCGATGACCCACGTATGCAGGGTGAAGGATAGGAGCCTGCGGGACTTCATAGATGTTAGGGAAGGTGTTAGGGAGAGTGTGGCAAGGGGCAGTGCTGGATACCAAGGCTCAGAGAAGAGGTAGACTTGAAGCCAAGTGTGCCTGTCCTGTATGAGAACACCCCAAGTTTTACAGGAACTTCTGTGAAGCTAGGAGCTGAATTTACTTGAAACTGTAATTGTGGGAAGTTATTGAGCCTATTGAATACAAAAGACATGTAACATCAATTTGTTTGCAAGCTGAAAGCTGAAACAGGTGTGAGAACATGCCTTGTGGTCAGCGTGTGTATGTGTACACCCATCTCAGGGCAGGATTTTATGGGAGAAGCTCACATTGTGTCCTGCGTCCTAGGTCTTTATTCTCAAGTCTTCTAGTTGGGCTTTGAACCTAAAGCAGTGCCAGATCAGAGCCCTTTACAGCAGAAGGAGAAAAACAGAAAGGAAAGGGTTCTGTTCAGCCTTGAGTCCCTTCACCCTGGTTTTCTACCCATCAGTTATTTCTTTTTCCTTTCAGCTCACCGGGATTATTCAAGCCATGGTGGATGGTCAGCCAAGCCTGCAGCAAGTGCTGGAGGTAGGTTGAGTGACCTTTAGTTCCTGACCTCTGACCCCTTCCTGCTGCCTTTCTCTCCCTCCCCTCCTGAGAATGTAGCTGTGTAATTTGACTATGATTATGGCTTGATTAGAATAACATTTGCTGTCACATCAGTGACATGCTGTTGAGAGTATTGAACCATTGATCTGTCATCTCCAGCTGTTCCCGTCAGGGTTTCTGACAAGATGTCCCAGTGCTGCCAGGAGTTGGGCAGAGGGGCCCCCACCCCTTCCTGGCCTATGGCCCTGTGCTGGCTGGCTCCGGGGTAGCCTGTGCTGGGTGTGCTGGGGAGTAGGGGAGCTGAGCTTGGTACTGTGGAACTAGCCCCGGGGACTGGAGGTGTTTTTGTTTAGCTTTAGTGTTGGCTTCTTGTGGCATGTGAGCACTTCATTAACTCACCCAGAACTCCCCATCGATGGCTTTTGTTTGCTGAGAGCTCCTCCCGGAGCTGTGGCTGGGCCCGCCTGCCCCACTGCAGCTTGCCGCTGGATGCTTTGTGCCTGTCGGGTGCAGAGGCTGCACTGGGTAATGATTCCTAATCAGAATAATTACAACAATTGCCTATGTGAGGGAAATCAAATTAAAGACTTTAAAACCCTTGGCAGAGACCACACTTCCAGGATGTTCTCCTCGGGGAGTTAGAAAGGTTAAGATGCTGTTTCTTGCGCTGTAGCCCGAGGGAATAAAGAAGGGCAGTGCTTGGTTTTAGCTTGTCTCCCACCCTCCTCTGGCCTGGAGGTTTTCACAGGGGGAGAAGGTCCCCCTTCCGTGTCTTTCTCTATGGGCGGGGTGGGGGGAGAAGAGAAGAAGCCTGTGGATCTCATTAGGTGCTTTATTTATTTTTTAAGACCAATAAAGCCAAAGCTCAGACCTTAATCAAAGTGTAGGAGAAAGCAGAATATCTGCAAGAATAGCACGGCACATCTACACTGGAGGTGTGCAGCCTAGAGGAAGTAGTGTAGTGGCAGGGAGCAGGGCAAGATATCTTTTTTTTAGCCAGGAGATCCTGTCCCATGCAGGAGAGAGATGCAGATTGAATTTCGTGGGGCCCCCCCAAGGATGGAACCAGGGTCAGAGAGGCAAGTTTAGGCTCACCTCAGTGGCAGAGGGTATTTCCTGTACCTGGGAGTGTGGGAACCCAGGCTGTGACCAGTCTGGTTGGGGGTCAGAGTTTGGGCACCTGCAGTAGATTGGGAGAAGATAAGATGAGCTCTGAGATGCTTCCCACATTGACCATCTTTTTTTGAAGAGATTCATTCCTATGTCCAAGGGAGCTCCTTAGCATGGACTGCTCCCCATTAAAACAGACTCAAGGAGACAGAGGGAACTCATTCTTTCCTCTGTCCTGGCCACCATCCCCTGCCAGGGCCTGGCTCCTGAGGGATGCCAGAAGACAGGTACCTTTTTCCTGGAACATCTGTAGCTGGGATCCTGGAGGAAGATACTTGCTCTGGGCCAGCACCAAACCAGGACTGTTGAGGTTATGGGTTTTTTTTCTCGGTGGCCCCAGTCAAGGAGGAGATGTGATCTTGAGGAGGCAACCCCTGCTAACTCTAGGCCAGCCCTGGAGCAGGGTGCTCAAAGAATTCTGAGTCTCACCCAGGAAGCTACTTTCTACTACTACATGCTTTGTGGGTAAGGAGGGAAAATTCCTGGTATCAGCTTGAAGAGAGTTTCTGGCCGGACTAGGAGACCAGACTGGACTCTGCTTCATCTCATTAGTCCTGAGATGTTTATGGAGATAAAGAGTTCATTTCTTGTCCGAACCAAGGCCCTTAGCAGGCAGCCAGCTAGATGTTTACCTGACTCGTGGTAAAAGGTGCTCACTAAATAGCTGCTGTGCAAGCGAATGGCCTGGGTCCTAAGCTTCCAGGGACCCCAGTGAGTGTTGAGTGCTTCCTGTGATAAGGGTCCAGTTTTGCTGAGTGTGACCTCCTGTTGTGTCTTGCTCTCTCTTTCACTGTGCAGGAGTTGGGGCGTTGGGGATATGTGGGGCACTTGGGGATATAAAACAGTGAGCTTGGGGGAGGTTATGCTGATTTAGGGAGCCCTAGTTTCACCTTACCTCTTAGGTGACCCTGGGGAAAGGATTCATGCACGTGTGTGTGTGCATGTGTGCATGTGCGCGCGTGTGTGCGCGCGTGTGTGTGCGTGCGCGTGTATGTGTGTGCACACGCACATGGCTGTACATGCAAGGAGTTGGGCCAGAGTAACTGAGGAGACAGATCATTCAGCAGTAGAGGATCCAGAATTTATCTTTTGGGAAGATTCTTTGGCTGAGGAGGATTCTGTGGTGTACAGACTGTAAAGAGCGTTTATAGAGACCACATGGTCTGCATAGTCTGGCACCGGGAAGCAACTCTGACATTCTGGTTGATAGGGCTGCTATAGCCGCGGAACTAGGTAGGATCCTTGGCCTTAGTCAAGGATGACTTTAGCGTGGGCCGGGCCTCTGGCATCACAGAGGTATCCAGGGAGCCAGCCTATACCTGCTAGAAGTAATCCTACTTAAGATACTTAAAGATATCCATGGACTCTCAATTTCCTGCTGAGCACACGAGGCCCTTTACAGTCTGGCCTAACTTAGTCCTCCAGCCTCTGTCCTTTCTTTCTATATACTGTGGACTTCAGTCACCCTAAACTTCTACCTACTCATGTTTTCAGTCAACCAGCAAATATCTCTTGAGTAGATCCTGTGCTGGGTGAGAGATTAAGGTAGTGAGTAAGGCAGAGTTCCTGCCTTCGTGGTGCTTATATTCGCAGGGAAGGCAGACATTTAACAGATAATTGCTTCAAATACAAAATTATTGCATATGTACCTTTGCCTGCCTCTACCTGTAGTATCCTCTACTATGTTCCACCGTGTCAGGTTCCTACTTCAGTTATCTTCTTTGAGAAGCCTTTTCTGACTCCTTTCCCTGTGAAAGGTAGGGCTAGCCACTTCCTCTTCTTGGTCCTGTAGCACTGTGGTCACATCTCCAGTGCTGGATCTGTTGTACTATGATGATCTGCCTTTCTCCCCTTCTCAGCCTACTGCCTGTTTTGTGGTAGGTACTTAAAACATTATCACATTTAATTCTCAGAACAACTCTGTGTAAGGTTTTATAGATGAAGGAAACTGAGGTTCAGAGAGGTTACATGACTTTTAAATGACTCTCCATCAGTGACACAGCCAGGATATAGAATAGCCAAGGGTTGGAATCCGGATGTGTCTGACTTCCAATCCTGCATTTTTAACGACTATGTGAGATAGCCTTAAAAAATAATCTCTTGCATGGGTAGAAGCAGTGGTGTGACTCCCTCTCCGTGCCTGGGGTCTTCTGAAAAATAGGCAATGCTTCATGAATTCTTTTTATTTATTATTTATTTATTTTTTACAGAGTTTCGCTCTGTCACCTAGGCTGGAGTGCAGTGGTGTGATCTCAGCTCACTGCAACCTCCACCTCCCAGGCTCAAGCAATTCTTCTGCCTCAGCCTCCCAAGTAGCTGGGATTACAGGAGTGCACCACCACACCCAACTAATTTTTTTATTTTTAGTACAGATGGGGTTTTGCCATGTTAGCCAGGCAGATCTCAAATTCCTGGCCTCAAGTGATCTGCCTGCCTCAGCCTCCCAAAGTGCTGAGATTACAGGCCTGAGCCACCACACCCAGTCTTGAATTGTTTATGATATTTCTCTTGTATACTGATTTTAGTATTTGAATTTCCAGTGTGAGCACAAATAAATGGATCAAAGGGTTGAAGGGAATGAAGGATTTAGAGTGTTTAGGAGCAGTTTTTCTCCCTGTGTAGAAATTGAGCTCAGCCTTCAAAATATTCTGCTGAATTTGAATCCTCAACCATGAAGAAGAGAAATACGAAGTTGGGGGCCAGTTTTGAACTTTTAGCAGCTGGAGCAGGCAGCACTATCCCAGGTGTCAGGATGGGGCTCCAGTCCAGTAAAGGGGACTCTTAAGGTGAAAATTTTCGTCACCTTCATTTGGTGAATAACCAAATTTGTAAGTTTGGTTGATAAACATTTGGTAGCAGAGTAAAACAAATAAATGAATGAGTGAAGCTGTGGGTTGGAGCCCCTGTTTGGGGCCTCCTTCTACTGTGTTCTCATGCCCCAGGACAACAGCCTGTCTATGCTGGGCCAGGGGACCAATGAGAGGAACAGCCAAGTCAGAGCAAGGTATTTGAACTGACCTGCTGGGATCTGGAGCAAGCTGCTAGGCAATAGGCGAGTGTAGGGTCTCCCTCCGGCTACACACTCGGGCTGCGGGATCTTCCTAAGGGGTTGTCTTCCAAATACCTCCGTGGTTCTCAGCCAAGCCTGAGAGCCCACAGTGGGGGCCATAGTTGGATAAGATTACAATTTTCTCCTGCTCTGATTACAAGCAGCTTATCTGTGTTTTGCTGTTGTGGCTCTTCACAGGCTCAGGGGAAAAAAAAAGGAAAATCTCATTTGTTCTTGTGTACTTTTCAGAGGGTCGATGAGTGGATGGCGAAGGAAGGCCTCTTAGACCCAAACGTCAAGTCAATTTTTGTCACCTGTGGAGACTGGGACTTAAAAGTCATGTGAGTATGAGAAGGGCTACTTTGCTGGCAGAGCTTGGAATCTGTGGGACCAGGTCTTGCCTTTTGGAGGCTTAAATGTCTACGAGGCAGCTGGGTCAGCGATTCTTCAGGTCTCTGAGGCTGCCAGGGATAGAAGAGGGTTGGGAGCCCTGCCTTCTGCCTTTCTGGAGCAGGGTGTGGGCAAGTCAAGGGCCTGCCTGGACAGTTGGGGCCTTCCCACCTTTGCCAGGTCTCACTGCTCATGACAGCCCTTCCAATTGCTTGGGCTGTGTGTTACTGCCCTGGAAGGGAGGAGTTAAAAGAGTGTCTTGGAAAAAAAAAAAAAAATTAAGCCAAATACCATGTTTACTATGTAATGAAATATAGTAACTTATTTATCAACTACATAAAGTAGGCATTATTATTCTTCCTATTTTATAGCTGAGGAAGTAAAGGTACAGAAAGGTTAAGTAATTTACCAAAGGACACACAGAGCCAGGATTCAAACTCAGGTCCTTGCTGTTAACTATTATACTATACTGCCCCTTTATCTGGCCTGCAGGACCCTAGTGATCCAACTAGGAGCCCAGTGGTGGGATGAGAGAGGGCTGCTCTGGGAGCTGCCCATGTCTCCAGCCTCCTCTTTCCTCCTTTGTCCCCACTGCTTATTTTACCTTTGTCTCCTGATCCTGTCCTGGTTATGGAAGACAGAATCAGTTTCTTTGCTGGGCTGACACTTGTGCATCTTGTCTGCCCTCATGAATACATGGCTTCAGATGGCCCCCAGGGAACTGAAGTGGGATGTAGGTAGTGGGGGCATTGTTTGCTGAGGAGTCATAGAATCTATTACCTCTGTGTTCATTGTGACTGAAGGTAGCAACAGATATTCCGTGTGTGTGTGTGTGTGTGTGTGTGTGTGTGTGTGTTTGAACTTTTGAGCATAAAGTGGGATGTTTGTGAGGTGTGTGGTGTAGTAGCTCTGCAGTAACATTTTCTACCACATCAGGTGTCATCTCCTCACCAAGGCCCTTTGTAAGCCTTTTGGTTGCTGGACATTGAGGTGAAGTTATGTGCCCAGGTGGGTGTCAAGCCTGCTATTGGACCCCAACTTTCTAGGTGAGACAGGAGGAAGAAAAGGCCCCAAATCACATGACCACACACAGACCTCATCTCCCATACCCTTTAGGTGTGTACGCACACTGACTGCACTGACTCTTGGTTTACTCCAGAGGGTCTCCATATTCCCATGTGACACCTCTTTGTCAGGGAAATTATACAGGCTGGAATTACAAGCAAATATGACTCAGAAGGAGTCCATGGAGAAGGAATGGAGGAAGAAGGCTCTTGTTCTTGTTAATGGCGTCCTGGGCAGCTTTGAGTCCTTAAAGCGAGGAAGGGACTTGACGTGGATCTCTGTAGCCCAAGAGAAGCTACTCAAGGTGGGACCAGTTTCAGGCTGATACCCAGAATTCTGGGATTCATATGGCCCAGGAGGAAGGCCCTTTGGCCCAGTCCAGAGTTCTACTTCCTCCAGGTAGCCTCCCCAGGACTGCCTTCATCCAGTGTTGTTCTCTCTTTGGCATCTTCACCTTCCAAACACATGCATTTCAGAATCTTCTACTTTAACTGTGCACGATGTGTACATATGTGTGTATATGAAAACTTTCCCGTGCATGAGGTTGGAGACTATAAACTTGGAGTTGATCTCCCCATGAGATGGAGAGGGAATTTCAGAGGGTGCTGTCTTCTTTTGGTCTGGCCTGTTCTGTAGCACAGTGGACCCTGGACAGGTGTTAGTGACTCAGGAGATTGCCCTGCCTCTTCCTGAAAAATGATATCAAGAAGAGAGACTGGGTTGTGGAACCCAACCGTATATGAAAGGAAGCCAAGTTTTAATGAGCGCATACCTTGCCGCATCCACACCTCCTGACTACCATCTCTGGTGGGTGGTGGTATTGTCTTTCTTTTATAGATGAAACAAACCAAAAACCCCTGTGGCTCAGAGAGCTAAAGACATGTAGCTAGACAGAATTGAATTCTAAGACCGTGTAGTTTCCAAAAGAGATGGGTAGGGCAGACTTGGTTGTCTGGTTTGGGTTTGGACTGGGAAGGCTGGTGAAGCTTCAGAAAAGGGTTTTCAGAAAGGAAGCAGGTGGCAGGGCTTGGGGGAGGGAGCTCTGTGGCTGCCTCTTATAAACAGGTCTCTGCATAACTGCTGGGAAGGCTCTTAATTAAATGTGTAACAAAATAAAAACAGCCGGAGAGGAAACCTAAGTAGTGCTGCGTGACAGCGCACAGCTAATCGGTGTTCCTGGAACCTCTTGGCAGAGGCTCATCATATGGCTCTCGTCAGAGCCATCACCTTTTTATGTACCCGGTAAAGGCTGCAGATGAGCCTGACAAGGGTGGTGTTAAATTGACACTCACAACTTGTTAGTCTGTGGCTTACTTCTTATTTTGACATCCGTTTTCAGATTTAACTAAGTCTTAGGAATTCAGCAAACATTTTCATTTCACACTCTAGTTTCCGGAAGCCATAGTTCCTTCTCATTGCTGTCCTTACCTCCTCCTCCCCTTCTCTCCCCAGCAGCTTCACATCACTTTTGTTGGAAAGGGGCTGATAAGTGGGGCACTGAGAAATGGGAACTGAAGTGGCAGCATAAATCCCACTGGAGAAAAGATATCTGCTCCCATCCTGACAAATCATTTTATGTCCATCTTTTGTCAAAGCCAGATGAGTTGATTCTCCAGGTGTACGTGGGCTTTGGTGTGTAGTCACAGACCCTGCTAAGGTGAGTTGTTATTTAGTGGTGTGGGTTTAATTTTCCTCTCAATGTTTTTGAAGAAACACCACTTGTTGCGGGTCTGGCTCTTGGTCAGCTTGCCTTCCCTGCCTGCCCTACTTTTTCTTCACCTTGCTTGGTGTTTCTTGAAGCTTCCCATAGGGTTTGGTGGTGTTTCTCTGCTTACCCAGGTAGAAAGTGCCTCTTTCAGAGGGCTCCATCTTTGGTATTGTGGTGGGGTTAGCACTGGTGTAGACTGAGGAGGGACACCTGAACAGGCACCCACTTGAGTAACTTAGATTTTAGCCTGTAGCTTGAAGATCCAGGTTCACCAGCCAAACAGCACAGCATGGCTGAGAAGCTAGACTAGAGGCTTTCCCAGTGGGCCCTGAGTCTGAGAATAAGGAAGATTGAGAAGAGGGAAAGACTGAAGGGAAAGAGCTGACCTGAGGGAGGCCCTGGCCCTTAGTGCAGTCTAAGAAGAGTCCCCTTTAGAGAGGGTAGGAGAATCAGATGCTATTCTCTGGTGGAATAGGGGCCGGGGGCCTGCTCAGAGTCTGGTGAGAAGACCCTCACTTAGGCTTAGCCTCAGTTTTGGAGCAGGAAGTTTTCCTCCCCCTGGAGGGAGAAGGGAGGTTGAACACATAAATGCAGGCATTTGACTTCCTTTTTTTCCCCTGCCTTCCTGCTGGGGTGTGCATACTACATTCTGGCTGTGCTCTACTGGTGTGGACCTGGAGTTCACTTCAGGTTTTAGGAGGCCTGGAGATGGAAAGATACTTGCCCAGATTACACTGTCACTGTTGGAGATGGGGAGCATGCACTCAGCAGGGGCTACTGAGGTTTCCTCGAGGCTGCTGTCAAGCGGTCAAGACCACTGAAGAGACTGCTGTTACCTGGAGTGAAAGGTGCCATGATGGAACCACACACCTGGGTGAGCACTGTGGGGTCGTGACTGTCCTGTGGGGATGTAGAAGATGGCTAGAAGGGGGCCTAGTGACATGCTTGCTGCGGGTCGGGCTGGGTCCTCTTGGCATTGCTCAACAGCTGACTACTGCAATCTTCTTGAAATTATCTTTATCTGTACTTTTGTTATGTTTTCTGTTTCTCTGGCTTCTCCTCCTCAGTCACTTGGGTAGATATTAATACTTCTTTTCTTCCTTTTTTTCATGTTGGTGTTTCTTAAATAGTGGTGTTTCTTTGATTTCTATCCTGGTTGTCTTTTCTGTTTATTCTACACATTCACACTTATCAGTGATCTCATCTTTTGCCAAAGCTTCAACTATCCTCTGTATGCTGATGTCTTCTAATCTTTTTCTCCAACTGGAGAAAAGAAATCGGCTTCATCTGCCACCTAAACGCCACACCTGCATATCCAGCTACCTACTCTACATGTCCACCTAGTCGTCCACAGGCCCCTTCAAGTTCAGATGTTTATCTTTCTCCTCACACCCTGTCCTCCATCATTCCCTCAAATAATGACTGGCACCATCTACTGAGTTATTCTGTCGGAAATCTGAAAATTATCCCTTCTCTATCCACACCAGTTAATTGCCAAATCCTGTTGATTCTGCCTCCCAGAGGTTTCTCAGATTTATTCCTTTCTTCCCATCCCTACTGCCCTGCCCAGTCAAGATGATCATATTCTTCTTGGATTGCTACAAAAGTCTTCTAACTAGTCCCTTTTAACTCCAGTTTTGCTGCTTCTATTCCATTCTCCTAATTGCAGCAGATTATGTCACCCCTTGGCTTAATACCCTTCAAGGTTTGCCCTTGCCCTCAAGGGTAAAGTCCACACCGTTTATTGGGACTTTCAAGGTTCTTGCTTACATCTTTAGCCTCACTTCTCAATATTCTGTGTGCCACCCCTGCACCCCTCCCCACCAGCCACATGCACAAGCTGGCCGGTTCCTGGTGATCCCTCTTCTTTCTCTAGGTGCCTTCCTTTGTTTTCCTGGAGCACATATACACATTAATACATAAAATGGTGCTGTGGCTGCCTCTACTTGTCTGTCTCTTGCACTACATTGTGAGCACTGTTGTAACCCTAGGACAAGGACAAGGCTTGACATGTAGTAGTTGTTCAATAAATAATTGTTGAATAAGTGACAACTAAGTAATGGAGTGTTCCTGTGGAATCTCTGCTCAGGAAGAACGACAGAGGACTGTTAGTAGGTAGATTCAGGAAGCATTCATTGCCAGTGTACAGGACAAATGGACTAGAGGAGGAATTCTTAG